AGGCGACAAATCTAATATTCGTAACTATCGCCCAATTTCAATCTTAAATATAATTCCAAAAATCTTTGAAAATATTATAGTTGATAAAATCACCCATTTATTTAGCAATATTATAACTGAAGAGCAACATGGTTTTACGAAAGGCAGATCTACATGTACAAACTTGTTAGTTTACAACTATATAAAGATACAAGTGTATAATCAAGTCTTTAAAGCACGCGCAACGAGTTTAAGGGCACGACGCAAAGCGGAGTGCCTTTAACGTTGCAAGTGCTTTAAAGACTAATTATACACGTGTATCTTATAGTATTTTTTATTATACCTGCAGTATAATTTAAAAATAGGAAATACAATGAAGTCATATTGACGTTATACTCGAATACATGTCTAATTAAGTGGGCTGGGTGTTCGTAATTTCACGATTGCCATGGAAATGTCACTTGACGTTTGCTTACAAAAATCATCGTCTTTGTGAATTAAACGATTTCCGTTGAAAAAGATAATACACCGCCCATTAAATCGATTGTTGTAAAATCTAAACAAACGTTGGTAGGTGTAAAATCCAACTCCAGTAAAGCCTATTATAAAGAATATGAAAAATTGTTTCCATGGATGAATAGGAAAGTTACTTACGAATACAGTCGTCGATAATGCTGGCATATATGAAGGAAATGTCAAAGGTATTTAAATCTTCTATACTTTGGTGCATTCATTCAAAACTTTAAAGCAACGCTGCGATTAAAAAGTGGAACAGATTTGGAAGCATACCCTAAATTACGCGCGTTTGTGAAAGCTTCAACCAAAGGATAGGTACAAAAGCCAAAGAAATGTTCTGCATTTACAGAAAGCGACCTAAGAGGATTTTTTATTTCATCCAGATGACAGTTTCAAAAGTCATACTTGAAGTATCGTTACTTAGCAACTTTAAAGCACGTGTGTTTTAAAGGCCCTTTTTCGCACGCATTTGAGTGTTTAAAACGGAGATTGTGATTCAGGTATAATAAAAAATATATTTTAAAAGCGTTAGAGAACGGTCACCAAGTTGATGCAATATATACGGATTTTACAAAGGCGTTCGATAGAGTTAATCACCAACTCTTACTAAATAAATTATCAAGTTATGGCATAAAAAATCCGCTGTTAAACTGGTTTACTAATTATTTGTCAGGGCGTCAGCAAATAGTTAAAATAAAGCAATTTACTTCCTACGCAATACCAATAACTTCAGGAATTCCGCAAGGGTCACATATAGGCCCGCTATTGTTTAATATTTTTATTAATGATATTTCTAGTTGTTGTAGAAATTCAAAATTTTTACTATTTGCAGATGACCTTAAGTTGTATTCAATTGTAAGGTCCGCGTCAGATGCCATAACGCTCCAATCTTCTCTAAATGAAGTCCTACAGTGGTGCCACAACAATGATATGTGCCTCAACTTTTCTAAATGCTGTGTGATGCGTTTTCATCGAATCTTTAGGCCCTATCTGTTCAATTATATGATAGGTAATGTCTCTTTGTGTTCTGTTTCAACAATTGTTGACCTTGGTGTTACTCTTGACCCGGCCCTAAGATTTCATCAGCACATTAATAACTTAACTTCGAAAGCTCTACAAAAACTTGGTTTCCTGAAGCGCACCACGGCCCATTTTACACACATACAGACGATAAGGTCGTTGTACTGCTCGATAGTAAGGAGCAATATTGAGTACTGCTCTCCTGTTTGGTCCCCACACTTTGATAAGTACATCCATAGAATTGAGTCCAATCAACACAAGTTTCTTAGATATGCGGCATTTAAATTAAAGATAGCAATACATAGTAACGATTTTTCTTATAAAGAAATACAGTGTATTTTGAACTTACAATCCTTAAGTACCCGTAGGAAGTTTGCAGATGTGTACATTTTATTTAAATTAGTTAACTCTGATATAGATTGCCCATACTTATTGTCAAACATATGCTTAAACGTTCCCTCCGGAATTTTACGTAATATACCTCGTAATATACAATTATTCCATGTTCCCTTCCACAGAACAATGTACGGACAATACTCTCCTCTAGTAAGAATGTGCAATTCCGCAAATGTACTATGTACTAATATTAACTTTTTTGGTACTACGTTTATCGAATTCCGAAGGAAGCTGATGTTACACAACGGTTAACAGTATAATTTGGGTTTGTATTCTTTTTTACGTAGGTGTTTACTTAAGGGATTTTAGAAACAATGAAATTTACCTTTCCTTTTTTCAATATAATGCACTTGATTTTTATTTGAAATATTTTTTGTTAAGTTTATCAGTAATTTTGATTTATAGTCACACTTCGTCTTGTTATTACATTTTGCTATAGATATTATGTTTTGTATTTCTTTGTAAAAATGGTATTTCCGTTAAATAAATAAATATAATTGCGAAATGTTACGACATGTTTCAATTGTTAATCATCTTCAGGTAACAAATTATAAGTACGGTGCGTGAGAAAATTACATTATTGAAAAGTTGTTGAAGTCTTGACGTTACATTTTTGAAACATTCGTTAGCGGTCCACGGAAGAGTCGGTTGAAATTAAGGCTTTTTAAAAGAATTCGTTTCTGCGTATTGTAGGTAGACCCTCTGCCGTTCAGCAAGAGGTTGCGTTATACGATTCGAGCAACAAAATTGGTCTGGTACCTCAATTCGAAAAAATCCCGAAAAGTGAGATGTAAAATTCGGCACTTAGTAAAGGTAAGGCATCTCTCCCTTATCGTCCAGTTTCAAAATTTCTTAGATAACTTCCCAAGCTTTGTATGCTGATATAAATGCTTCATCAGAAGTAGATTTCTAAAAAATCACGGTGAAAACTTCAGGCGCGAATAGACTGGCAAGTTTTCTCACGCAAGTTATGTCTGATCAAAAGATCAGGAGACGATGTCTCACGCTCAAAAATTCAGAGCCGATCTGAATTTGTGAGAAAACTTCCCCGGAAGTCTCGTATACGTTTTGGCTAGCAAGTTGTCGCAAGTTACTTACGCGATAAATGTCGCAAGTTGATCTACAGTGGTTTTATACCAAGACAGTGCTGTCAGACCGCAACTTGCGTGAGAAAACTTGCCTGTCTGTTCTCGCCTTTAGATACCATCGAGTAAAGAACTACCAAATTTCCATGGTCACAACTAAATTAAGTATTTATGTACATTTGTGTAAATATCGCCTTAATATCCTTGATATTAAGGCGATATTTATGCCGAGGGCGACAGAGCCCGAGGAGCTCCGGCCCGAGGGATTGCAAGTCGCCCTAGGGTTAAATATCCAGTAAAGCCTGAGGTGCATACAAAATTTCAGTATCACACGTGACAAGAAGAAAAAAAATTATTAAAAATACTGAGTAAAATATTTACCAAAATATACCGACTCAACGATTTATTAGAACTGTCATTTGACTAGGTTCTCGATGCTAACGAATAAAGGGTTCCTCATGTCATGTGTTGCTAACTAGCAAATAGCACATTATACTTTTTCGATAGTAACGCCACAGATAAAATACCCAATTTATCTGTGGTAACGCTAAAGTTTTCCACTACGTATACTTAGTGAGTCTACTTTTTTTAATAACTTCTTATGGTACATAAATGAAGCTAGAAGGACCTAATCCCGCATTAGGAATGTAACGTATTAAAATGTACAAAAAACAAGCAAAGGTCATATGTTGATAAGATGTTTTGGCTTACCCACTAATCGTGAGTCGTTATTAATAGCAAATCTGATGTAAAAATATGCTGTCTCTTTCAGTTTAATAACCCTTCTTCTACTTCGCGCCCAGATCACCAAGTCTTAACCTTTTATCTCCAATTCGGACAAATGAAAAAAAAATGTTTTAGAGTTTGACTTCTTTGTCCTAAACATTCTGAAAATACATTTCTCGCCACTATGCTTTAATTATAACTTGCCTGATCATAACAAAAAAGTAAGCTCTAAATTTGGAAAATATCTCATTCATTATTATTATTAGGTACTTTTTAGTCACAAACCTCCTAGTTAGCCATTTTATAAGAGACAGTCTCAACTTTGCTTTCTAAGTGTGTAGTTCCAAGTGAAACCAACTAAACTATCACATTGGCAAAAAATGTCTTCATTTATCTCAACAATACAACATTGTCTTATTTAAAGACAGTGCCATTTATTTGTTTGTGGTGGAATTCACAACGATTACTAAGAAAATGCAGTGGTTTTTAACGATAATCGTGTTTGTACTTTTGTTCCTAATTTTTAAGTGGAAGAAGGTGTTTCGCTACTGGAAGGACCGAGATGTCGAATTCGTGAGCCCATTCCGTTGTTTTCGCGCATTTACCGAAAACATACTAAGGCTTAATTCCTCCTCAGACGTTTTTAGGGACGTCTATTACGAGTTTCCAAATAAAAGGTACGCATCCTCCTGCTTGGAATATTGACAACGTACGAAAAAGGGGTCGGTTTTTTTATGGGTTTGCAATGTGTTTTATTTTTATACCTAAAACTACCAAATACAACGCGCATGTTGCCCTTCGTTTATAAACTTTTGCAATTGTAATAAATTAGAGTACTGCAGGATTTATTGATAAATATTAAAATCTTAAATGATAAAAATCAATTTTAAAAATATGGGGGGGGGGGGGCAAGTTCACGTAGCCTCCAGTGACTCAAAAGTGAACTTGAATGCACTGAAAATTTTACATAACAATTATGCAGTTACACTATCAATATCTGATGTGACTTTTTTATTGTGCATTAGTCAAAGACACGCTCCCACCGGTGGCAGGGCGCATCTTTTCTTTTTTCTACTATCTAATCTACCATGTTCAGTAGGTCCCTATACGATGCACAAGTAAATCCCAAATTAGCATTGTGTCAAATATTTGCTACGACACTTGTGGATAAAGGTGGTAGTTGACGCGTTTGTACTCGACAACATTGGCAAAAGGATACATAAGTATTTAAAGCAAAATTCAAACATCAATCAAGTGTCATTACAGTATCGAGCCATTTTGTGTCCAAAACTGCTGCAAATGGACCGTATTTTCATAATTTATCAAAATGTAGATTTATTATTTACCAAAATAAACCCATTGAATGATAGGATCTTGCTATCGACAATTTTATCTGTGCAGCTGTGCTATCGAGTAAAGTGGTTGCTTATGGGTAGTGTTGCTAAGTAGCCAACAGGATATACTTTATTGATGTCATCAGAGTTTTACATAAAGTATACAGAAAATATATTGTTTTCCTCTCAAATTCTTCAGATTTTCAGTTATAATCAAACCAACTGAACTAACGCATTCGCAACAAATATGTGGTTTTTAATGTTTGCCGTATTTGTGCTTTTGTTATTAATTTTTAAGTGGAAGAAGGTGTTTAGCTACTGGAAGGACCGAGATGTTGAATACGTCAGCCCATTCCGTTGTTTTCGCGCTTTTACCGAAAATGTGTTAAGGCTTAATTCCTCCTCACATGTTTTTAGGGACGTCTATTGCGAGTTTCAAAATAAAAGGTACGCATACTCCTGCTTGATATATTGACAAAAGTACAACAAAGGTGGCAAGACAGAGTTCTGCAGGCATTCCATAAAGATTTCTTGATAAATTACGTCATAAAATATAAATTTTGAAAAAATTAGGTGTGGGGGGGAGGCAACTTCACGCAGGCTACACTACGTCAAAAGTGAACTGCTTTGAGTTATAAAAAGATTAACAATAGTTCTAAAGTTTCCATTAGAACAGTTTTTATTTGAGAACCTTTGATCTTTTGCATTAATTTTGCATGAACATTGATTTTTTATAACTTAACTCACTCTCATTCTGTGGTTTGTGAAGAATTAGTGGGGAAGGACGCCCTGCTACAACCGCCAATCATTTGTCACCATGAAATCCGTGTAGGTACGCATTCCATAACATGAAACATATAAAATCACCTATGATCTATCTTTTGTTAGAGTTTTAAGGATAATGATCCAATTTAACCAGGAACAATGACCACTGCCGGTCTCGTAGTCAATTTAATAAATACATCCTCCGCCCGGTTCTCGAATTCAGATCTGCTGAATTACAAACGCGCCATTCAAATGCGAAGGGAAGGTATAATTCAATTAATTGAAAGGATTAAAGACGTCGAATTAAAAATTAAGATTCGTTTCATTTTCGACGTGTCTGCCTTTCGAGGCAAATGCAAATATTTTTTATTCTTTCCTGAAATACCTGCAATCCAAATACATTTAACAATACTATTATAGGTACGTCGGGAGTTATAACTTCTTTCGACCTGTCCTATTAATCCGTGATGTGGAATTAGTGAAACGAATTACTGTAAAAGACCATGCTGTATTTCACTCGCATTCCGACATTATACCATTGGAATTGGATCCGATGTGGTCAAGAAATATAGTCGCTTTGGCTGACCGTAAGTCTGGCATCAAAAGAAGCTTTGGAATTTAGTTGTGTTTTAGGTGATGTGTGGAAAAGTAAGAGGGGGTCCTTAACACCGTTCTTCACAATTAAACAAGTCAAGAATCTCTTTAGTACGCTTAAGCAGTTTTCGGAAAAATTAGTTGAGCATTTAATAGCAAGGTCAGAAGGCCAAGCTGCTGTTGTGGAGATGAGGGAGGTTTGCAAGCGATTATCGTGCGATATTTCTAATACCTATTCTTTCGGTGTTAATTCTGACTCAATTAATAATCCAGATAGTGAAATGTATACCATGACAGATAAAGCGTTTATGGTGCCCACGCTATATGGGATTAGGTATTACGTGGATAAACTTTTCCCTAAACTTTTAAAGGTAGGTATGTGGTGCTTTGTCTGGTAAGGCAAACTACGTTTTAATCTTTTACAGTGGACTGGAGTGAAAGTTTTCAGCGATGAAGTTCGACATTTTTTTACAAATATTATGAAGCAAAGTATAAAGATAAGAGCTGAAAGCAATTTTACTGGTCTGGATGTCATCAATTTATTACTTGAGCTGCATAAAGTTGAAAAATCTCGTGCAGATAATCTAGATAGCCAAGTATTTGAAGATATTATGGCTCAAGCACTGATACTGACATTTGCGGGATACGACACCGTCACCAGTGCATTATCATCATTAATATACGAGTTAACAGTTCATCCTGACATTCAGAAGAAACTACATGAAGACATTCTCAACACAATCGAAAACTTTAATGGAATTCTCAATTATGACTCAGTGATGGCTATCGAATATTTAGACAATGTCATAGATGGTAAGTGTGTAACTCAACCTCCAATATTGCGCACCATTTATTTGCAGAAGTTATGCGCATGCATCCCGTAACCGCCATAATTGATAGACAAGCGACAAAAGATTATGTAATCGAGCCTAAAAATCCCGACGAAAAAACGTTACTTATAGAGAAAGGGACACCCATTTGGATATTACATAAGGCGATTCAAATGGACCCCAATTACTTTCCAAATCCAACAAAATTTGATCCCGCCAGATTTAGCAAGGAGAATAGAAAGAACATTGAACCATACTCTTTTATTCCCTTCGGTTCCGGTCCCAGAATGTGTCTTGGTATCACAAAATTTTATCACACTCAAATGTGAACTTACTTACTTTTAGGTTCTCGATTGGGATTAATGAAGGTGAAATTAGTCGCCATCGAGCTACTGTTGAATTTTGAACTTTTACCTACCAAGAAGACGTACGTTAAAGATGCATATAATACGTATAATCTCAGGCAGCACGGCGTTTGGGTGCATTTGATCCCTAGGAAACCACACACCACATAATTGTAGAAGCTAATTACAACTCTGACATAACAATTCCAAACCTGGCAAATTGCTGTTACAATCCAATCTCGCATCATGTGTAGGTTAATTAATTAGCTTTATTAGTGTACGATGATTTATTTACATTTCTTACGGTCCCTATTTTAAAATATCTTAATATATATAGATAGTATACTCGTAGTAGGTAGTGGTAATTATTATAGATGTTTATGTATATCAAATGGTTATATTCCATTTTTACTATTGTAGTATGGGTACAATGATTCTCCAACGGAGGTGTTAGAGCAAATGAGTTAAAATTCATTGCAAAATTAAAAAAAAATGCCGGCAGTAAAAAGTCCGCGGGTTTCGTCATCAAATGAAGCCAGAAAGCAGGTCATAATTAAAAACCTACACTATTTCACAGGTGTGCATTAAATTAAATTATAAAAATGATATCACCGAAATAACAAATTGCTATATATTGATAAAAAAAAAGAAATCGGAAAATATGAAATCTCCTTTGTTACATGGGTTTTCTATTGAATCGATTACTTACGAAATTTCTACCTTTCGCATAAAGTTATAGAGTCTGAAAATGGACCATTTCCTGCAAAACGAGATCTGGTGGCTAAGAATTTAAGTTTTAGACTTCCCACTCCTTGTGCTTCCCCCATACCACCCTTAAAATCAAAGAAATTTGTTGGATTTTTAGTTTTTCAATCATGTCTTTTTATAGATTCACTTTACAAAAAAATATTGTTATTAGAAATTGTAGACCATCAAATCTTACACAGATTTGTTAGTATATACCTACTTCAGTTTCGTAAATTTATTATTTCAAAAGATACCGAGCTTCAAAGTTGTCTTTGTTTTGAAGATTCCGAAATTTCTATGTATACCTACATATTTTAACGAAATTGTATATTTATCTCTATAATCATAAGATTCATATGAGAAAATACTTCAATTATAAAGTGATGGTGCTATTAATTTCCGTACCCTGTAGCCATATCAAAGGGGATCATAGCACTTCAACCCCTTGGTCGTAGTACGTATTTGAATCACTGTGTGATTATGGCACTTTCGAATACAATTATCATATAATAAAAGTGGTCTTACTTCATTTTAACTCCTTCCATCCCCTGCAAAAAGGGATGATTATTTCAACCCCCTTATAGTAGTGATTGTTCAACTGTCTAAGATTATATCGGTTTGGAACATAATTTACAAATCATTATTTTATAGGAACATAAGTAGTAAATGTTTTTAGCGCGTTTCTGAAAAAAAGTAGAGCATATAACAGGCGATCAAAAATGAGTTGCTGTCGAGTCGCCTTTGGAAGTTCAAGTTAACTACGATTTTCCATGTAAACAAAAATTCCAAAGGTGACTCGACAGCAACTGATTTTTGATCGCATGGTATTACTGTCAGGAAACGAAGGATCAAAATCTATATCGTGCCAAAGGGCGCTTTAACGTGGTTGTCACCCCATCTCGGGAGTGGCAATTTTTTATTGTAATTTTAACACATGAATAACTAGAAATTAATTCTAAGCAAAACGTGTTTTATACATTTTTTTGAAAAGTTAATACTTCTCCAGTTATTCGCGACGAAGGTACGAGTTTTTCATAGAACAATGTTTTTAATTGGTTATTGGCGAATGGCGAAAAACTCGAAAAGTATGCATTTTATTAAAAAAAACTGTGGAGAACTTAAAAAAACAAAGGAAACGGTTTTATTAATAATTAATTGCTGTATGACCAATACGAACCGAGTTGTGTCTTGTTAAAGGTTAGCTCTTGTTCGTCAAACGCTAAATGAGAGAGTTTTACAGTCAAATAATGGAAAAACCGAGGGAAAAACTATGCATTTTTCGAGACAAATTTGTAGTATTTAAAGTATTTAAAAAACCTTTTTTTTTTTAAAAAAAACAAACTTTAGCATAAAACGTAAGTAAGTGAGTTACGATAGAAATAAGGTAGATCCGTACTTTTTTCAGTAAAAAAATCAGCGCAATCAACCCCCTTCGCACAAAAACTTAAGTAGCTTAAATAGCTCGACGCATTGAGTACTTTCCAACGTGTTTGTTTGAAATGTGTATTCGGAAATGTCATGATCTAAGGGTGATCGAGCAATCAACAACAGAGGATTGAACAACTCATTTCAGGAGGTGGAAGGGTTAAACTGGAACGAGTGAGTGGTTTGAAAATATAAGTAATAAGTGTTGTACTCCCTGACTAACTTATCAATGGATGAAGCTGAACTGAAGTGACACAATTTTTTTTATTTCAAACGTATATTAGAAAGCGCTAAAATCTCACAGTGATTCAAATATCCCCACTAGCAAGGGTTGAAAGTTGAATTATTATGCATCCCCTTTGGTAAGGGTGCAGGGTAAGGAAATTTATACCGCGATAAGAATATTTTCTCATAAAACTCTTAATTGTAAGGATATAGTATAAAATTTGGTTAAAACATCTACATAGGAATTGCAGAATTCTTAAAAATATAAGCAATTTTCAAGTTCTATATCTTTTTTAATAAACATTTCACAAAAAAAGTATTGTATATCAAAGTGGTGTAGAATTTTGTGCTCTACAATTTCTGATAACAATATTTCTTTCAAAAGTAAACCATTAAAATGATATCATTGAACAACTAAGAAATCGACCAAATTTCAGGGGGTTTGGGGGTGGTACGGGAGAAGCACAAGGGGTAGGAGGTCAAAAACTTTCTTAACCACCAGATGACTGTCTATGTTCTATGACATACAAAAGAAATTGGAACTACTTCTCATTCTGCAAGTTAAAACCCTTTATTCCCTGGACTATATGGATGGCTTCTGAACTTGCTTTTCTTACAGTGAATTTCTTATGCAATCCCTTTTGATTCCGCAAAAAAAATATGATTAGACTGGTCGACCAATTTAGGGGTTCCTTTTGATAACATTAAAATTAAAACAGGTCAAATTTCCCTTTTACAACGGATCGTAAAGCTGTCGATTGCAATTTACAAAAGAATACAAAATATACAACTAACCTTTTGTTTACAATTCTTTCCTCGATGTGAAACTCTAGAATTCTTACAGTTAATTTTGAATAAGCGGTCTGGGGTACACTTATACAAAATGTATAAGTTTTGTGGATTTGTTTCTGAGGGTGAAGATATGGACAACGTTTTCCTGTTTTCTGCACTGAACCTTTCGTTAAGAAAACTTGAAAATTCAGGTCTAACTTAAAAGTCTTCTGTACGACTGCTGCACCCAATGTAAATTTCCATAAGAGCGCCAGCCACTTTTTGCAAAAAAATTTTTTTTAAAGAACTATTTCATAAATTTAGACTTTTATCTACAAAATGTTCGGACTATTTTTTTTTAAGTTTGTAGCAACTGAATGCCGATTGTTTAAAGATTAGATGTTTTGCACCGAGTATTTCGGTAATCTGTTTTATTACTCCCGATCAAGATGATTTATGAAAAAAGTACACCGGCAGTTTTAAAGATAACTTACTTCTAAACATTGCCCCAAAAAATGAAATTTTTTTGTAAATGAAGTCTGTATCTTTGGCGGGCAGTAAATAAACAGTTTGAAGCATGTTGAGTGTAGCAAGGGGCGGCGCTTCACAATGTCGGCGGGAACTAAGAAGCAAGACAGAAGCGGACAAAGAAAGAATATCATTTTGTCTCTCGCAACTATAATCATCTATAGAATGATCGAAAAGAACTGCAGACAGTTTAAATTGGGCGCTTTAAGTTTTTAATGTTTTTTACTTAAGGAATTGGCAAACCTGTTTACAAGGTAGTTTATTTATGCATTAGTGATTAAATTGATCCACCACTGCTTTTACATAAATGATATTTGGTATGTTACCAACTTTATAAATGTTTAGTTTTAAGGGAAATACCTAATCGCCTCTAAGTGCACGATAACCAGGGATAAAATACTATAAATACAGTGCATCCGAGATAAGAAATTACTTATTATTACTAGTTAGCTACTTATTTTCGTATGTGTTTGCATTATATGTATCAATCAAACACACAACAACATAAACTATTACAAAAAAAATTTGAGAAATTCATGATTCAATATTTAGAAAACTAACAAAATCTAGCACGCAGTGTGCCATATCACAGATGAAAAGACCTATATCAACTTGTTAAACGTTCCTTTTTAAAGTTTTACTTTGCGCGATACGATCTACCTATGTAACACAATAGCCACCGCACATCCTGACAGCACACGTAATGCTAGATTTCGTTAGTTTTCTAAATATTGAATCACGAATTTCTCTATTTTTTCTTTGTATATCAACCGTACAGCAAGATGTACAGCAAATTTTAAAAAAAACATTTGGCATTGTAATTTAAGAACAAAATGCATCAATTTCCAATTAAAGTGATACCGGAAGTTTCAATATGTGATCGGATAAATCGTAATGTCACATATAAAATTGTAAATGAAATGTGTACATTTTTTCGTATCTCCCCAAACAAAAGAGATATTGAGGTGACCCTAGCATCACTAACGCAAGGACAGAGACGACGAGAGATGGAAACCCAGAATCATACAGTGGAGACGATGGTTGGGAGGAAGAGGAAGACCGAATACAAGATAGTATGATTGACACCAAGCGAACCGCAGGATACAAATAGCCAACAAGTTAAAAAGTAATCGTAAACGATTTACATAAAGCGCATTTCCACTTGCATTCATTTCCCATTTGTAAGTGCAACTTCTGTTAAAATCGTAAAAATCCGGCCACAAATATGAAAGATAGCGTTGCACATGGGCAATCCATTTTTGACGTGCTACTTCAATTTCAGTTTATGAGAAGAATTTTATTTCAATGCTTTTCTAAATAAGAAAGTTGGAACTGCGCATGCGCAAACCTAAATTTTGAAACTAATGTTAGATTTTCCTTTGTTCCAAGCGCCTAAGTATCAAATTTCACTTAAATGCTTCCATGGATAAAAAGTTGGCACTGCGCATGCGCAAAATAAACTTTTGAAACTGGCGCTAGATTTTCCTTTATTCCATGTGCCTATGTATAACATTTCATTTAAATTCTTCCATAAATAAAAAAGTTGGCACTGCGCATGCGCAAAACCAAATTTTGAAATTGGCGTTTGATTTTCCTTTATTCCAAGCGCCTATGTATCAAATTTCGTTTAAATTCTTCCATAAATAAAAAAGTTGGCACTGCGCATGCGCAAAACCAAATTTTGAAATTGGTGTTTGATTTTCCTTTATTCCAAGTGCCTATGTATCAAATTTCATTCAAATACTTTTATAAGTAAAAAAGTTTGCAATTCGGTTTATAATTGGTCGAGATGCGAAAAGGGCACTGTGAATTTTGAATCGATTCGATTCAACTTTTGGCATTGCGTATTATATGGCTAAGGCTATGCCCATATTGAATTTCATGCAATTCAGTTCATAACTAACGGAGATGTAAAAGCGATCGAACATTTCTAAACAAAGTTATCGTTCACACGGACAGAAAGATGGACAGACAGACAAAGGAACAGACGGACAGACCAACAGGCAGACGACAGATAGCAATGCAAAATTATAAACGATCTCTAGGATCGTTAATAAACGGCAAAGGTGTAAAATTATGGAACATGTAAAAAACGGTTTTTTGTTTTTTTTACAATAACTTTTTTTGTAAGCGGTACAGAAAAATTCCTTCCTTGGTACAAGACTCGACACCATAACGAACCAAATAGCGAAAAAAGTAGAACAATAGCTCTTAAGATAAAGAACTAGTAGCGTCGCAAAACGAGCGGACGGACGGACAAAGTGGCCACAATAGCGCATTTTTTTTTGTGGAAATGCGCTAAAAATCACGAAAAATGGTAATCGTTAAGAGAGACTTAAAGATATAATAGAGGAGACACGAACAAGTTTATAGTTTCAAAAAATATAGGTAGTAACGAAAATAAGAAATGAAATGACTAAAAATATTCAGGATGACAAATTTCGAAGCTTTTTGATGCATTTTAAATGCATTTAGATCTGTCGCAAGGATGCTATCAAGTATAGAACTAAATGCATCTATGAGAAAATGTACAACGTCCCAAAGCTAGTTTCAAACAACCAGGATGACTAGGAATGACAATTTTGTATTTGGCAACAACTTACAAAATCATAATTATTACTATTAATTATTATTTATATTACCATGATTAAGAGAAGTTAAATTAAAATTAAATCTGAGGAAAGGGTTAAAAAATAAATTCTGTATTTATGTGACGTTTTTTGTGTGGAAGGAATTTCTGTGAGTGAATCAGTGAGACGTAGTAGAAGAAACAAGGTAAAAAGTAATCGTAAACGATTTACATAAAGCGCATTTCCACTTGCATTCATTTCCCATTTGTAAGATGCAACTTCTGTTAAAATCGTAAAAATCCGGCCACAAATATGAAAGATAGCGTTGCACATGGGCAATCCATTTTTGACGTGCTACTTCAATTTCAGAGAAGAATTTCATTTCAATGCTTTTCTAAATAAGAAAGTTGGAAATGCGCATGCGCAAAATAAAATTTTGAAACTGGCGCTATATTTTCCATTATTCCAAGCACCTATGTATCAAATTTCATTTAAATGCTTCCATAAATAAAAAAATTGACACTGCGCATGCGCGAAACCAAATTTTGAAACTGGCGTTAGATTTTCCTTTATTCCAAGTGCCTATGTATCAAATTTCATTCAAATACTTTTATAAGTAAAAAAGTTTGCAATTCGGGTTATAAATGGTCGAGATGCGAAAAGGGCACTGTGAATTTTGAATCGATTCGATTCAACTTTGGGCATTGCGTATTATATGGCTAAAGCTATGCCCATATTGAATTTCATGCAATTCAGTTCATAACTAACGGAGATGTAAAAGCGATCGAACATTTCTAAACAAGGTTATCGTTCACACGGACAGATAGATGGACAGACAGACAAAGGAACAGACGGACAGACCAACCGGCAGGCGACAGATAGCAATGCAAAATTATAAACGATCTCTAGGATCGTTAATAAACGGCAAAAGTGTAAAATTATAGAACATGTAAAAAAACGGTTTTTTGTTTTTTTTTACAATAACTTTTTTTGTAAGCGGTACAGAAAAATTCCTTCCTTGGTACAAGACTCGACACCATAACGAACCAAATAGCGAAAAAAGTAGAACAATAGCTCTTAAGATAAAGAACTAGTAGCGTCGCAAAACGAGCGGACGGACGGACGGACAAATTGGCCACAATAGCGCATTTTTTTTTTATTTTTGTGGAAATGCGCTAAAAAGAAATATTTTGGCAGAAACCTTTTTTTTTAATTTTCGGATGAGGGAAAGTGTAATGGTGGTAGGTATACCAATTGTTATCCTGCATGTAAGCAACTTTTATATCGATTAATACACTCCATTAATATAACACCAATCAGCTTGGTGATTGTTTCAAATTCTAACCAATCAGATGATTTTTTAAACGATTAAAAGCTAGGTAGCTTTTTATCGCCGATAAAAATGCGTGTATGAATGCGTAAAATATATAGTGTTGTGAAATTTACTGTCTGGTACCGTTGAGTGAATCACTCAACGCTGGTACTAATCTCCCTAAAATACACTCGATCTTGGTTTTAAATCAGGATAATTTTATTTTTAATTCACTCAAATTTTGTTGCCTCCTGGAAAAAACTCTCGATCAAAAGCATAAGACAAAATCGCTCCAGTTAAAGCTGTCGCGATTTTATCACGCTTTTGATCTCTAGCTTTTTCCGTTGCAACAAAACTTTCGTGTAAAAATAAAATTATCCGAATAAAAATCAAGCTCGTATATTTAACCCCGATTAATAATCATTAATGAAGAAACGAGTAATTGAGTTCGTATAGACAATGTATCTTCAGGAAACCGGAGTCAACATGTCAAACGGGGATATCTCTTGAACAAATATGAAGTGGAAAAAGTTTCAGTTTTGGCAAAGCGTACCTATTCGTCGATCAGAGTATTAATACCAATGTCTCGATGACGGAGCGGAAAAATTGTCAGATTAACCTTTCATCTTGTTTAATATTTCACTAAATAAACCTTTTTTTTATCGTTGAACTACTTATCGGGTGCAAAGCTAAGTTGATTTCAGTGCATTGTATGATTACTTAGCCAGCATTGGCATTGTATCAAACCAAAATGTTGTTTTTACTCTTTGTTGCTGTAGGTTTGTTATTAATTTTAAAGCTGAAAAGAATATTCAACTATTGGAAGGACCGAGGTGTTGAATACGTGTCTCCATTGCGATGTTTCCGGCCATTGTCAGAGAATATCATAAGAATTAATCGCAGCTCAGGTGTTTTTAAAGAAATTTATGACCAGTTTCCGGATAAGAGGTAAGTATGATCATTGAATAAGTAATTATAGGAAGAAGTATAATAGCACCAGGGCCTATCCATCGTTTTATATGGGTAACGTTCAACAAATTACAGACAAGCTGAAATTTGGCAAGGTACTTTGTTATAAGGGTCTAAACAACCTTTGAAACCCCAGCGTCGTTTCTGAATTTTTTCTTAATAACTCTAAAACTCAGCATTTTAAGAAAAAATGTAAAGGGAGAAAAATTGTAGAGAAGAAAATTTCCTACCATATATGTATACGTAAAATTTGTTAGATGTTCAGCGGAGCAATTTCAGCAACTCATTCAACTACTTAATCGAAATACTATAATATTTCCTAATATTACTATAAAACGCCGGAATCTGTTCAGTTAGGTTGCCCAACATGATGAATTCAATACTGCCTGCAAGGGGGTCTTCGAAGTGACCCCCCATAACTCTAAGCAACCACCCCCACCCCAATCGTGGGCGTCGTGGGAGTTAATTCGCTTTGTTTACATCTGCTATAATATCGCCATCTAGCGGCAGTTGTCCCCACCAGGTATACAAAAACGCCAGATGGTCAGCTCAAAAACGCCTGGCGACGGACTCAAGTATCTGCATAGGATTTTTACTGCAGAATAATACTTCTTCCTACAATTACGTACTTATTCAATGGTATTATCTTTGGGTCTCTGCGATGCTCTAAGTAAATAAGATTTTTTCGGCTGCCAGTAAATTAAAGTTCCTTTACAGATATATTGGGTTTTACCAGATGTTTAAACCCGTGCTATTTGTTCGTGACTTGGAGTTATTTAAACAAATTACCTCAACGGACCATGATGTATTCAATATGCATTCCGAGATTTTTCCACCAGAATTAGATCCGTTGTGGTCAAAAAATTTTACCGATCGTAAACAGTCCGGTTTGGGGCCAACTGTAGTACATATCGAGTTCAGTGGCGGTTCAGTTGATATTTTGTTCGAAATTATTGTTACCTTAACAACCAGCCGAGTTCATCTGAACCGCCGTTTAACTCAATATGTACCACAATTGGCCCTTAAAGGTAAATCTTCCATACTCAAAATGTCGTTGCAGGAAACGAATGGAGGAATGTAAAGACATCTTTAACTCCGTTGTTCACAAGTCACAAAGTGAAGACGTCTTTTGCTGTAATTAAACAGTTTACAAGAAATTTAGTTAATTTCTTAATGGAGCAAGTAGAAGGTGAGAGAAATGTTATGGAGATAAGAGAGATTTGCAAGCGGTTGCTATGCGACATTACGACTACCTACATCTTTGGTGTTAATTGTGATGCAATTAATAATCCTGATAGCGAAATGTATAGTATGGCAGAGAAATCAATGACGTTCAAAGCCGCGAGGGGTTTAGTGGCTGAATTTTTTCCTAAACTGCTGAAGGTACGTGGTGTTTTGTCTCTTGAACCAAACTAAGCTTTAATCTGTTACAGTGGAAAGGGACGAAAATGTACAGTGAAGACGTTCGCCAATTTTTTGCAAGTATAACTAGGCAGAGTATCAAAATGCATCTGGAAAATAATTTGAATAGCTCAACTGTTATCAATATGCTACTTGAACGGTATAAAATTGAAAAATCTCGCATAGACGACCTTGATGGCATTGTGCTTGAAGATATTATGGCTCACGCATTGATATTGGTGTTTTCCGGGTACGAAACAGTCAACAACACATTAGCCGCATTAATCTATGAGCTAACAATGCATGCTGACGTTCAAAAACAATTGTATGAGGAAATCGTGAAAACAGTTAACGACCACGATGTCAGTTACGACGATATTATTTCAATCGGTTATTTGGACCATGTCGTCAATGGTATGCAACACTAGCTACCTAACCGTGAAAATTATTATTTGTTTTCAGAGACTATACGGTTGCACTCGACAAACGCGATAATTGATAGACGGACTATGAAGAATTATGTAATCAAAGCTGAAAATCCAGACGAATAAGATTTAACCCTAGAAAAAGGGATTCCAGTTTGGATACTAAGCCAATCAATTCAAACTGATCCGAAATACTTTTCAAATCCAAATAAGTTCGACCCTGATCGGTTTAAAGATGTTATTAAACCATATTCGTACACCCCTTTTGGATCAGGTCCAAGGATGTGTCTTGGTAGTGTATGCCTCTATCTAAGCGAATTTTAACCATTTAGTTCATAGGGTATCGATATGGTGTAATGGTTTTTAAGGTGGTCATCACAGAGTTGCTACTAAATTTTGAACTTTTACCAACCGAAAATACCTACATTGAGGATGCGTCCAACATGTATAAACTGAAGCAACACGGTGTTTGGGTCAAATTGAATCCTAGGAAATCAAATTGATTGAAAACACAAGTTTAACCTGACCTAATAATAATTTCAAAAGGTTTCGGAACATAGGTACTAAGCTTTCTTCGTTTAAAGAGAAATGAACTTTCATTGCGTCAAAAAATGAATGCCGATATCAATTAGTAAAAGAAGAAAGCTTAATAAGCATATTAATTATTATTTAGTGCTACATCAACAAGTAATCAAGTTTTAAATAAATGACAAGGGGACGGAAATCCTCTTTTGTTCTGGGCCCTCAACAGGATGACCCGCTATATAACGTAAATTGAATTATTTGTTTCCAATGAGTGTTAATTCAATTTCAGTATTTGAGTCGCTCGACGGGACAAACGTTCGATTTTTTCCCGCATTTATATTCCGCGGTATCACTACCCCCTTTGCAGATTATGGGCAGAGAGCGCCCTTCTGAGCTCGAGGAGGTTGCGACAGATTAGTTTAAAGTCAATATTTTAATTTCGTCGTATACTGCGTTTTTTTGTTAGTCATTTAAACAATTTTAACCCCGTTATTCCTGCGAAAGTATATTTCGATAAATATTTTCTGACTACGAGTTGGTCCCTTTTTGTAAAGTTCTTTTGAATTTAAATTTTTATTTTAAGTAAGACTCATACATTTTCAATTACTATTAGCTTTGCCAAGAATAGGACAAAGATCTTTTAGTCTACCTTGTTCCCCTCAGTAAGTATTTTCTCTGTTTTTAAATTTTCTATAAAACTAAGGTGCGCATATTCACTAAAATTGGCACGCTTTTGCCACCCATACGTACTGGGAAGAATAGGGAAAGAATAAACGTTGCGAAATCTCGTTGGAAATACGATAAGGTGAAAGCAAAATGAAATACTTCATCGTGCTGGGGTACAAGAAGCAACAATTATTAATCGTTGAGGAAATTTCCCAAAAGGATATTAAGGACAACGGCATAGGCATGAAAAGAATACATTGTTACGAGGGTAAGTCAGTTTAGAGGTGGAAGAGGTTACAGAGACAGTAAGTAGTCACTCACAAAAAAAGTCTATTTCCCTTTTGAAGGTACCGATTGCCCTTTAGTAGTTCCACATTGATATTCATTTATTTGCGATCTGGTGAAACTTCTGCAAGAAAAGAAGTTCAGAAACACTCATTTAACATTCACACTAAAAACGTAATTCCATGTAAAAGCTATCGATTGATCTGTAGAATTACCATTGAATAAATAATATTCAATGGTATTACCAACAAAACGACGACATCATAAAGAGGACAAGTCCAATTTGATTAATTATAGAGATTAAAAAAATGAGCAACTTTTGTATCTAGGTACACTATTTTCACATAACTTCCAATTTTCCTAGAAAAATCGGAAAAACTGTTTTTTTCGTTTTTATTCTTATTTTTGCGAAAAAATGTCATAGGGGTTTGAAATTTGGAGGAAACATAGCTTGTTTTATGATAAAAAAGAAGATATTTTTTTGGGCCTGTAAAGTTGACCCGTTTCCAAAATCTCACGATTTCTGAAAAAATCACCTACTTCTCAAGGGATGAAAAATCTATTTTTTTTCATCGTACAGAGGTGCACGGGATAGCAAAATTTTCGTAACGACTTACATTAATCAAAAATAAAAAATATTATTCCAATAGAAGAATTTTAAGGAAAGCGGAAAAAACGGGGGGAACAGTTTTAAGATATACCTACCGTTTTTGACAGTATTAACGTATTGGATCCGTGCTAATAAAAAGTTGTTGAAATTCTGTCTTCTCCCTCCTCTTTAATGTTGCTAAAATATTTTTTTTTATTTCCTTGTGCCCAACTGCCTTATTTAAAACATCTTTATTATTTCTTTTTTCTGCATTTTTACCGCAATAAAAGCAATTCGAAGTAAAATCGAATTCTTTTGCTTCCTGAAATATTTGTTTTTGTTCACTAATTCTTCCTCCTGCCTGTTTTACAGCTGATGGGATTAAGCTGGGCCTATTGATCGTTAACTTACAGGAATTATGAATAAAATCCTCATAAAGTTTATTCCAGGTTTTACGTCTCAAATCATTTGCTTTGGCCAATGGCCGGTAAAACTAACGTTCTTATTACCTGAAGATTTTCCAAAGTTTCAACAGGCCCAATGCAATTGGATCAGCTATAAAACAGGCAGGAAGAAGAGTCAGTGAACAAAAAGAAATTGTTCGGGAATCAGGAAGCAAGATAATCAGATTTTATTTCGAATTGCTTTTATTGCGGTAAAAATGCAGAAAAAAGAAATAATAAAGATGTTTTGACTAATACAGTTGAGTATAAGATAACGAAAGAGAATATTTAAGCAAACATGAAAGAAGTAAGAAGACAAATTTCGAAAAAATCTTTATTAACATCCAAAATGTTGATTTATCATGTCAAAAACCGTGTATAGCTTTAAAAAAATTTCTGAAATTTAGAGGTGACTGGAAAAAATGTCTCAAGTTCATGTCATTTAATTGGGGTCCTATTGACGATACCGTTGAGGGAGGTTTCAACATTTATGAGTTTGGTTAAATCTAGATTATCAGATTTAGTCTATAATTCAACGAAGTATACAAAACTTTACAAGACTGGCGTCGCTTAAAAGAAATCTTGGAGCCAATTTCTCAAATAAGAGGAAAAAAGTGCAAATTCAAACGGAATTTTTAACTTGTAAATGGGTAAAATTAAAATATAATGATGAAGTTAGCAACTCGTTATTATTATGCGTGTAGTATATTGAAAGCGAAAGACTCGAATCAGCTACATTAAATTAAAAATCTGCTCTCAAAGCTTTTCAGGAGGGCTCGAGGGAGCCAATTAAATTAATTATTAAACCTAGCGAAAGGGATTACTTATTTTAAATGCAAAAATTATGGGCAAATCAGTGTATAATTGATATCAATATACAAACGCCTATCACCTATGTCGTAAAGCTCATGTTATCCTTATCCCACCCACCAGTTTAGACGCATTATTTTGCCGGGTTGTAATAACTTGCCCTTATTGTAAAAAAACCTAATCATCAGTGCGAAAATTTTAAATGAAAACAATAAATAAGAAATTAAATCAGAAAATCGGGAACAAATGCAACTAATGCGTCAAGTCAAAAAGTAGTAGGCACCTATACCTAAATAAGAGACAGAAAACTCGGAACCATGATTGTCTGTCGTTCAATGAAACCTAACACGGTTTCAGGTGTTTTAAGATCACGATAATTTAGAACACGTAACATCCAGTTGTATTGTCTCTCAGAATGCCTTTGCTTATATATGCTTTGGCTTAGAATAAGGCATGAAAGGCACTTCGTAACAATACAATCGATTCGTTTAATAATTATTTAAGAACACCTGAATCTTAACTCTGCTTTGAAAATCAATAACTCTAAGACCACCAGTCTGCCTTTCGATGCAGCCCTTATCGAATTTAGTGGCAATTTGACCACGATTTGTTCAGATTATTTCATTCAGTTGATGAGCGACGAAAAATTGGATTTAAGTTTTCCAAATGACAGAAGCTTGAAATTTTATTTATGTCGGTAGAGAATGCCATTTGATTACTCTGAAACGATAGTGTATAATTAGGGGGTATCCCAAAAGATACAAAATTTTAATTACGTAACTTTAGCCTCGCTTTTAATTACCTAACGTATTTGAACTGACAATTTTACTACCGGTGGTTAAGTGTCTTTCATACGTCCAACTGTGGGTGAACTGTCATCCTGAGCCAAAACCCAAAATTCCTGTAATGGACTATAATTGTTCTGATTGTACCACGTCAACGGCCTCGTTAGTGTAAGCACCTGTCTTGGTCCTCTTCAACAGTTTAGGCCCCAATTGCATGATTAAAATGGCGCCAATAGGGGACGTAATGATTATTGATATTACCGCGATAATAACAACGCTGTTCGCGTAGCCTTCCAAAACAGGGTCGTTCAAATTTCGCGCTAACACCAAAGCCGTCGGACCCAAGGTCGCCTACAGTAAATAGCAATTAAGGGTCATTAGTCAAAAACTTTACCTGCACAGTAGCCTTTGGTATCCAAGAGAGAGCCACAAATATTTTTTCTTTTACATTTAAATTGCTACACTGAGTGGTAGCAAATGAGGTAAGTATTCGCAACTGAAATATCTAGTGAAAAGAATGTGAAAGAGTTCATTACTCACCAATAAAGGGACACAGAGAACAAGTAGACCCCAAGTGACAGTGTTGGTCTCTAAAATACTGAAATTAACCTCAACGCCTATGAGCGCGAAGGAAATCGGTTCAAAAAACTTCCATAACAAAACAAAGTTGGCCTTGACTGGATTCTAGAACTTTGGTTTAAGATGTACAGTTACTGCATAGAATAGGCTAACATTGCTACTCCAGCCCTGCTTCTTCCATATGAAACTGGCGACGAAAGCCGCTACCATGCAACCCAACGGACCCGCACCCATATAACCGATTGCGTTACTTCCCAGTGCCGCTAATACACAGCCCAACCCAAGTAAAAGAGTACGTAGTGTGGTTACGTAGGTCTGAAATGATCAGTTTCAGTATGCATTTCTTGGAAAAAGTGCGAACCTCGTCTTTGTGCGGAACGTGTTGACACACAAATCCTAAAGCAGCCCCAAAGGCAAAACCCATAGCGAAAATAATAGGCCCGTAAAATATCTGCATCAGAAGACTTTCTAAAAGGAAACGGTTACTCTACCTTTACTATAGCAATGTGAATACGCTACGAGTGCTGAATATGATTCCCAGCATTACACCGAAAATTGCGATGCATAGAATATCGTTCAAAGTGGATGCCGCAATGACAAGTGTGTGTATTCCCTTATCCACCCCGTATCCAAGATCTTGCAATTCGAACAGACAAGGAATGATGACCGCCGGAGAAACCGCCGCCAGTAGTAATCTACAAAAACGTGGACGTTCAAGGCGAATTAAGCATGGCAAGCGGTACCCTAGGAGTGATCCCCATAACCACGGGAAATCCAGGGTGAGGTGTGCCAAAATTGTAATACCAACAACTTCTATCGCCACCGGAACTACGGCCAAGTTGGCGATCATCCCTCCCATTTGTCTCAGTGCATTTGCGTCAAGTCCAAGCCCCGCCGGGAGCAAGATATTCACCAGAGCTAACTGTCTGAAACACTACCGGCGTAGAAAAAGCCTTGATGAAGTTCAATGTTACCTTAACACCGATGTAAATTTAGCATAGTCTCCAACAATTTCAATAAAACCCACATTCCTCATCAACACGCCGATTAACAGCATGCCTATCATTGGCGGTATTCTGATTAAACCAAGTAGGCAACCAGCCAATTTGGCGACAATAAATAAAACCTAAAAACAAAACTATTACGCGTTAGAAACTAAAATTAGGTTTGCTTACCGCCAGCCGAAAAATCACACTATTCACCCCAACGTGCTCGTCTCCAAAAATTGAGTACGCAATCGCCCAGACTAAGAATAATAGTAAAAATAAGGAAAATTTGTCCGAATTGTTTGCCCATCTTGGAAGTTTCACGGTCATTGTGTTGTTTTGTTTATGTCAAAATCGTTTGGCCCAAGGGTATGCCGAATAATGGTATATTCAAAGATTATAATTATTAAAATGAAGTCTCATGTTGCGCACTACCTCGCTACTCTAAACAAACTAAAAATATCGCATGGCATTCACACTACTACTGCCTGATGTTTCGCACTATTTATTTATCGCATGTCGTATCTAATTATCTTTCAAAGAATAAAGATAAGTGAGATAAATATTTGGAAAAAAGCAATTGACCTCAATTAGCAAAAGTCGATTGAGTTGGTTGCGATATACAGGCCGTACTCAAATAACTGACAATATATAATAAATAAATAATACGTAAGTAAAGTATTCGTAGAGCAAGCAAAAAGAATGCAGGGTTCCGTTAATCAATTACTTCGGTTCCTCTCACAGCAAATATTGCAAGTGGTACACAACAGTTTAACTACCTTTGCTTAACTTTGCTAATCTGAACCGGGTTCTATCTCAACCCCTAAATTTCAGCTTGCAGTTAGAGATCTTTCGTTATTGGAGAGGGACAAATTTGTTGGTTTTAAATATGGGACTAGGTTGGGAATGTACTGAAATTGGAGACGAGTACAGGCAATATAGATCTTAGGGTAGAACAAAGACAAGGTATAAAAGTTCCATTCGATCCCATTATGGCTAAAAAAATATCCGTCATCTTTTTTTTCAATTTTTAAACAATAACGTATTTATTTACAAAGTTACCAAAAATTATGTAGATACATAGTTTTTGGAGGTTAAACGCGCGCATATATAATCACCCAAATAATAATTATTGTAAGTTTAAAATTTAAAAAGTTACAGTTTTTACCAGAAGGTGGAAAAAATAGAATTGTCAATTAACCAGATTTAAGTAATATTTTCATTTTTATAAATAAACTAGTAGATACCGCGAACCTCGTATCGCTTTTGGGATAATCAAATTGACGGCGGAACATAGGGAAATAACATGGGAAAACACATTTCCGACAACTCCTGCTCCCCATTTCATCCTACAGGAAAAATAAAAACATCCTCAGATAGATAATTAAAATATCCATCGGATGACATAAAAATAAATCACGAACTGTACCGTGTACTATTCCCAGTGTTAAACGATTTTGCAATAAAGACCTTTTTTTGTAGTGTAATTATTAATTATTATTCATGTTGGCGTGTTTATTGGACATGACAGTTAATTTAAATCAAAGAATTATGAGTAACAAATGCTGTAGGTAAATCATGGCCAATTAATTTTTTGTTTTACTGATTAATTTAACCTTTATATTAGTAAAAAAGGGCTTAGGCACGTTTTTTTGGTGACATCTAATGCTGATTTCTATCGGAGGGTGTTTTTATTTGTTCTTTAGGTTCAAATGGGGAGCAGAAATGAAAATGTATTTGTCCATGTGATTTCTCTATGTCCCGTCGTCAACTTGCCACACTGTATAATCATCTACCGGTATGAAATATACCTACTTTACGACCTATTCTCAAACTACCAAATATACAAAAAGAATTTCATAACAATCGATTTTCCGCCTTGAAGTTTATATTATACTTTCATGACCACCCGGTAGAATTAATTAAAGAAGTTTTAATTTGTGGACGTTATCCAAATACACTAGGCTGGTTGTGAAAACCGGCATTCTCTACATTGCATGGCCGAATCTTATAAAAGCTATAGCCGTTGCTTAGAAGGGATCTTTTTGCCTTTAGTGTTTTGCTAGTTACATTTGTAAGTACCGTATTAATTTTTTGATACTTTCCCTAAATTTATTTTGCAATCATACCGTTTGATTATTGGTTCTACATTAAGTCGGTCGCACCGTATTTCCAGATTTTAGCTTTTTCTTGCATAGTAAGTTCTACCGCATCGTTTAAAACTTTTTTACTACTTTTGGCTGATTTCTGGAGCTCCCTTTACTCTAATTGAGTTTACCCCAGGCTTCCGAGACCGTTCCGCAAACCGCTACTACCGCCGACCTTGAGCAAGGGCAAGGCCATATCCCTTGGTGGCGCTCGAGTCCGTTCCGCCGACATCACATCCAGGTTGCGACCGACTGCCGCTGCTTTCGTCCGCTGCCATGATTTATTTGCAATAGTTGCAAATTTATTTACTTTTCTTGTAATTAAATTGTAGTCGTTATTCCGCTATTTATATTATTTAATTTTAATGCTATTTGTGCGCGAGCGTACTACCAAAGTTAAGTACGACCACAAACACTGTGACACGAGATTTTTACATATTAGATTTCATCTGTTATTCCCCTATTTTCCATGTCAAAAACTGCATTAGGACAAGTAATTCCATAATATTGCCCACACTTTCGAGAACACCGAATGCCTGACTTTTTGCAAGAACAATTTGGTCCACACGCGCTTTCTTTACAGTTACAAACATTGACATTTTAATAGATTTGAATGAGGGTAGATAAAGTGAAACAGATGAGTATGCATTGTACTGACATCTGTCTTTCTTATTTCAAATGGGACGCGAAGTACGATATAAAATTACGTTCAGAACGTATGACAATGCGGTTTCTATGGAAATGGAAATGATCGCGACGGCCGAACCTAAGCTTTCTAATCTACATATAATTCAGAATTGTCAGAAGCTCACTTTGTCTACAATGTATATGGCTTCTGCTATAAAATGAAGTTTTGTATTATACACGATGAAAAAGAGAAACTAACCATCTCGTGAAATTCACTCAACAGTTAAAATATCCATTTATCGCCTTGTATAATAAACAACTATTATTGTATTACGTGATAGTACACTTCTTAGTAAATGTTGTTCTGGAGATTCGTCCGTAGGAAGCAACACGGCTAAATTAAATTGGCCTGCCTTAGAGTATGATACATAAAATAACGAAGTTCGTTTAAACTTTGAACTTTTTTGGCATTGTCTTAATTTTAGGAGAAACTCGACACCGCCTTTGATAATGTCTGGTTTTAATGCGTCCTTTGTATAAAATGATGTTACTGTTACGGCTTCAAACAACGTAGGATTATTATTTAAAGTAGACATGCACGCCTTCTTATTTTTGTTAAAGAGAAGCGATGTTGTGCCGTATTCCGAAACTGCTATATTTCGTCGACGAAGTAAATACAAATTCCTTTAGTTGCAGTGGTATATTTAGTGGTAAAACCATTATATCAGTATCTTCTGATACAAGGGTCCATGGAAAACCTATTAGGAAAAAAAGCGATTTGTGAAATAGAACGAAAAACCACAAATAGGGGTTGTGGCAAAATGCCCTTAAATTAATTAAAAGTGAAACAACGTGATAGTAATAACTGGAAAGCCGCACCGGTATTCTCCATGGCATGCTTAAAATCAAGTGTCTTCTTAATTCGTTTTTCGTGCCTAATAAACGTTTTAAAATAAAACTATGTATTGAAAGTTAACCACATTTTTCTATTTAAAAAAACAATACGTTAATATAGATTCATCTAATTCATTGCTGGGTAACCAAGTTTTGAATTAAAATTTAATTGAGCAACTTGATCAGGTATCACTTTAAAAAATTATACAAGCTTTGGATCATTCATTTTATTTTCTGGGTCATTCCTAACCAAGTCCCTGTACAGCAAAATTTCTGTACTAATAAAAAGTAAAATGTAATTTAGATTCCTATTGCGAACATACGTTTGATATCTCGAGCAATAACGTCTATTATTTTGAGCATAGCTGTTCATCGGAATCATCAATTTTTTAGCTATAGAGGCTTGTTCTTTAATGAAATTAGTATACCTATAAAAATCAGGAGCACCGTGTAAAGGGAATTTTTTGTCTTTGTTCCAAAAAAATGCACGACGTAGTTGTTTAGCGGTTAAGAAATCACCTGTAGTGCTTGTTCACAATGGACATAAGCATAACAAAAACATAACAGATACATAATTCATAATGTTGAATAGTAGCAAACCAACGTATGTGTTCACAATGATTACATAATTTTTATTTTTTTGTAAATGTTTGCGTGTGTTTTATGTCCTACCGAAACGGTACATAAAAAATACATAAAGTTGGGTCGGTTTCAACTTTACGTAGGTTTTATGAAAAATCTAGTGGAATTAGGTGTATTTCTGTTGGGTACAAAGACGCAGCTGTTGGTTTGACATTTCAATTACTACGTCTAACGTCGATGACATCTCTTCTGCCAACATAATCTGGTTATTTTTAAATTGGTACATAGTTTTTGGCGCATTATTTCATAGTTTGGTGTGGTTTGGTCCTTAGTGTGTTGTTTTTTGATTATATCCAACACGACATGGAAAACGTATAGACGTCGAATTATTAATTAGTTTGGTGCGATTAAAACCCTAATTGTTTAATAAAGGGGACAAAAGATATAAGGTTAATAGGTGATCGAATAATCCTGGTGTATGAAAAAACCATATTCTTCATCATGCAGCTTCATTTCTAGACAAGCTTAAATTCTTAAATTCTCCCCTTTTCTCTCGGTCTCGATTTATAGGTCTGACCCACCAACGCCGTTTTTGTTTTGTAACAACTTTGTCTCTGGGTCTTCATAACAGTAAAAGCAATAAAACTGTTGAAATTTCCATCTCAGTGGCACACACATATACACCACAAATAATATTGTTATGTTCTTGACGTTTTGATTTGCGCCTACGCAGATAATTATGATCTTACGGTCACTGTGAACACTTTCTCCACCTGCGTAAAATTATGTCTTATGTCAATATTATGTTTTATGTATCTGTTATGTTTTTGTAACGCTTATGTCCATTGTGAACAAGCACTAAGACATTTCCACACTCTTTACAAGCTATTTCGACAATTTCAACGAATTTATAGTTTTACTATTACAAATATAAACTTTAGTTATTCTTTAAGATTCGATTGTATTATTTTGTGGGAGGCGAATTTGGAAAACAACTACAAAGGTAGGTTCGGTAATTCCCAAAATGAAGAAATTAATTAGATTACTATATTAGCTGCACTGAAGGCATGGCAATGAATTCAAATTGCATTTTCTCATGTCATTTGTTCGGACATATCACATATGCAAATTTCCGTTCTTCATGGGGTTGATGATACATACAGGCGCATATTTTACCTGTTAATAGCCACAGAATATTTTTTATATAGAACGTCTTACTGGTACAATGTCATTTTTT